GCAGCAACTTGTACAGATTATCTGTAAATTATAAGGATTTTACATCATTTTGCAGGTATACGGACATATAGAGCAATCTCATGGATTTTTTTCGAGTCTTACGGATATTTTAAAAACCTCATTTTCAAATTTATCCAACATGTCAGAGCCTAAAGGATGATTTAAAAAACAATAAATAACATAACATCAMACAGCCATCTTCCAACCTGTTCTGCCGCTAGAAATAAGTTACTTTTTCCGCTCTCCTTTCCTTCAGCAGGTGCTTTCATGTCCGCAGCTGACYCCCTCCCCCCGCACGGGTGCGAGTTGTAAGGACTTTTTGCAAAATTTATGGATTTTTAGGGCTCTTTATACAGGTAAACTACTTTTATTCCTGATTTAAACCAGCGATCATGTGAGCAGCTGTAGGCTTTTATTTTTTTCTGTCAGGCTGTCGGAGCGCTCCTCCTCCTCTGTCTGGTGCTGGTGTGGGGTGAAAATCCTCCACCTCAGATGTTCAGAGATGTAACTCTCTGCGATACTGTGGTCACTTTCCATGTAGCATCAATTATGCTAATGCTAGCTCCTGTCACGTTCTCTCGTCCTGGCCACACCTCCGCTCTCTAACCCCCCTCCCCTACCCACTTTGATGCATTTTTCAAATTTCGCCTTGGGGCGGAGTTATCTTTTCACAGGGGGGTAAGATGCACTTTAACCAATAGGAAACARTTTGTACAAAGTAATGATGTAAGGTCTGAACTTTGTAATATTGTATGTGGGGTTCCACAAGGTTCTGTACTTGGACCAAAGTTGTTTCTTCTATATATTAATGACTTGGTAAATGTGTTGGGGTTGTTTAAATGTGGTTTATTTGCAGACGACACCACATTTTTTTGCGTGGGTAAAAACATAAAACAGATGTTGGAAATGATGGAAATAGAATTTGTAAAAGTACAAAATTGGTTTAATCATAATAAGTTATCATTAAATTTGGATAAAACAAATTACACAATYTTTTGTAATAGAAAGAAAACAAATGATGTTTCACTTAGAGTAGAGGGTGTTGAGATCTGTAGAGTCAATGAGGTGAAGTTATGGGTGTCATCATTGACGAAAAACTGACATGAGACCTCATATGAATTACTTAAGAACAAAAATGGCAAAATCTATTGCAGCACTGTATAAAGTTAAGGAGTTATTTAATGATCAAGTACTATTTATACTTTATAATCCAACAATTGTTCCAAATTTGATTTATTGTATGGAAGTCAGGGGAAATGCATGTAAAACAATTACTAATCCTATTTTTATTTTACATAAAAGAGCCAAAATATTATCACAAGAAAGCATTACTATCACCCATCTAATATATTGTTTCATCAGTTAAAAATATTAAAATTTTATGAGTTGTTTGAATATCCTGTTCTGCAGGTAATGTATAAAGCTCATAAAATGTGTTGTCTTTAAATATCCAATCTAATTTTGTTAATTAAGTCATATTTGGTCAAATTAAAACAAGCAAAGATTATTGGCTTTTAAATCTACATTTTGATACCTGAGTTATCCTGATATTATGAGTGTTTTTAGAGAGATGACTTGATTTGTCTTAGTAATTGGGAAATGCCATGAAAAACTGTTTGAAATCTGATTTTCAGAATATTCTAATGAGGGTAYCTTGACATCATTTAAAAGTAGAAAGTTCAAATCCTTTATGACATTGGGATTTTCCAGCTGCTATTAAAAGTAGGTTTACTAACAAAGCTGCAAAAATGTAAGGCTTTTCTGCTCAAAATCATGTTATTTGTTCAAATATGCAACTTGCAAGTAATAAAAAAAGAAGACTACAATAATAATTTATTTGGCTGGTGTTGTAGAGTAAGTGTCCCAGGTTTGATGAAGACAAGAGTCACCAAAGTGTGAGCAAGAAGAAAAAAAATCTTGTCATATTACGCATTGAAAATTTATGCTCTTTGTTTTACAGTGAAATAAACATGCATCCTCCCAAACAAATCAAAGTAAGTGTGTCGCGAGATTTGTAATTCTAACTGCAGATTGACCTTTTATAAACAGCCAAAAAACAACAGAATTTTATTTTACATTGCTTTTGGCTTTGCTCAGCACCAGGGGAGAATTTCCCTGTAATGTGGTGCTGCTGGAATCAGTCATTTCTGGCATGGCTGTGTGGCCATCTTTCTCCATAATGGACAATAATTGAGCAGAATCCATCACTATAGCTGGAAATAGACCACCATAATGGCCATAAATTGTGCCCCGTGAAGGCAGTGAAAATCCAATCACCCCCGTTGTGCGTGAGAGGCATGGCAACTTCTGTGCATTCTCTTTTGTCCTTACATTTGGACTCCATGCTGATTACGTACAATGCACACACAATTCAGTCAAATCACACCCTTTAAGCACAGAGGACAATCAATTGACCTTTGTGGGGGTGTTAAAGGCTTTGTATGTACCAGGATTTCGGAAAGAAAATGGGTTTTTGATGGAAAACCTGGCAACTGGCTGATGTAACATCCAGGTCCATTAATGTTTTTTGATAATAACATCAACGCAGTAAAAGTGTAAACTCCGTGAACCAGAAACACAGAGTTCACAGCTGTGGAAAATCTGAAACCCATTCATCAACGTGCTCAAAGTAAAGCAACTGTAAACATAATTAACTGATTTCATTTTCTTTTCTTTTTTTCAAAAGAGCACCTGAA